GGAGCATCTCTGCACAAGAACCTCAGGTCCAAAGAACGTGTTCTGCTCCCAGTGCTTCTTTCTTGGTGCTATGAGGTCCCCCCTCTCAGCTTGCTTCCCTTTCCTTTTATCTCTTGAGAGATAAAAGGTGGTGCAGGCCACACCCCAGGGAAACTCCTTTTACATTGGATCAGAGATGTGAGCAGGGTAAAGGTGGTGTTACAACCCCACCCTAATCCTCTTTAACATAAAATTACAATCACAAAATGGAGGACAACCACACAATTCTGGGAATTGTGGCCCAGCCAAATTGATAGACACATTTTTTGGGGAGACACAATTCAATCCCTGACAGATATCTTCTCATCTTTCATGATAACAGGGATATTTTCTGCCAGTAAATCTTCAATGATTCTCTCTGTGTTTTCTATTATCCCCTCCATTCTGATACTCCAATCACTCATAGGTTTTTCCTCTTGATAGTGTCCCACATAATTCCTAGGCTTTCTTCATTTTTTAAAATTTTTTTTCTGATTTTTTTCCTCAAATAAATTGATGTCAAGAGATTTATCTTAAATCTCACTAATTCTGACTTCCATTGCCTCAATTCTGCTCTATGACCTTGTACGGAATTGTCTAATTCTGAAATTTTGTTGTTAAACTTTTTGATTTCAGTTGCTGTCTCTCTATGGTTTCTAGCAACCTGTTAAATTTGTCATTTTGTTCATGTATTGTTTTCCTGGATTCCTCTATTTCTTTGTCTGCGTGTTCTTTGGCTTGGTCTGAGTTTTGCATGATCTCCTTCCTGATATCTTGGAGAGCTCTGTATATTAGTCTTTTGAATTCTAACTCAGGTAATTCCATGATCTTATCTTTCTCCGGAAGATTTCCTGGTTCTTAATTTTGGTCCCTTGCTGGAGCCATCTTGACCTGCTTCTTTATATGATTTGATATTGACTGTTGTCTCTGAGCCATCAATAAGTTATTATATTTATTTATTGTATGTTTGTTTACTGTGTCTTAGCTTTTTGTTTTGCTGTGTTTTGATATGCCTAAGTAGGCTGGGTGTGTGAAATACTTTGGTTATTGGCATCTTTGAAGCTCTCATGTCCTGTCTCCAGGTGGTTAGAGCAGCTACTAGTTGTGTGAGCCCAGGAGTCTGTTCACTTTTCTTATGCAGATGCAGCATAGATGTACAGGTCGTTGGTCACCGAGTGTGTGGTGCAGGCTCTCACCTAAAGTCCTAGACAGACAGGGCTGCATAGAGGTGTTCAGAGCAGCCACAGGTATCTGTCTGCAGTAGAGGGCTATATGCAGAGCAAGGCAGGGGGCTGACGGCTGCCCCCAGGTGCCTGGGTGGAGGGCATGTCCCTGTCCCCTAGAGCATGTAGTGCATAGGGTACTGCAGCCGGTCACCGGGCAGCCAGTGCTGTTGGCTGGAGGGACTGGGAGGCACCACTTATTCTCAGACCCCTGTCATGGGGTGGTAGATGGAGTGGGTGGTTCCACCAGCCCTCAGGCCCCTGATGTGGGTGGGTGAGGTCCCTGCTTAATGGGCAGGGCGTGTCAGATGTCACGAGTCTGCAGCTCCCCCTTAGCTGCTGTAGTTGAAAATGGGCTTCCAGTGTATGTCCTGTTGTTTTATGCTAATGAGGGCATGTGGTGTTGAATTGGCCCGCACAGGTCTAGGCAGGGGTGAAGGGCACTGCAAATCTGTGGATCCCTTATGCCAGTGGCTGGACAAAAGGGCAGGGCCTCCCAACCTGCCCTGAATTCCTGACTAGGGGATGTGGCATTTTTTAAACCTATAAGACTGGTTTGGGCTTAGATAGCCCTGAGTTCCAGCTTAGGGGGCGTGGTGGAGTGGAGCGGGTTGGGGTCTGGTAGAGGGGAAGGAAGCACTTCTCCTCAATGAAAGTCGGGGGCGGGGGGCTGGGGTGGTTATTTTGTCCCCCTGTGAGGTAGGTTAGACGTCTGTGCTTAACTTTCGCAGGTCCAGCACCGCTTGCACCTGGCTCCAGAGGCTTGTGCAGACTCGCAGCTGCCTGGCCTCTCCCAATGTGATGAGATGCTTCCCAAATGTTACTGCTCACCTCAGCCCCTGTGCACCAGCTGACTCAGCCAGCAGGGTGCTGGCAACCTCGCAACTGGCACTTCTTGGCTACTTTTGAATTGTCTCTCCTTACCCCTGCCGCTCAGTCTGACTCTTCAGCTTTGTCTTTGATGGATCAGGGCTCCTAGTTTGTCATATATAATTGATTCACTTGTTTTTTCAGGTCTTTGTTTTAAGAGAGATAAAAGGAAGCTTCTGACTATTCCACCGTCTTGGCCCCGCCCTTATAATTATAACTTTACACACTCCACAGAGTTCCTTGAGGGCATACGGTGTTTTTTCTGACTCCCCAATGCTAGCCCACTGCCTGACCCTTAAGAAAAACAAACAGACCAAACCCATTGCCGTGGAGTCAATTCCAACTCACAGCAATCCTATAGAACAGAGTAGGACTGCCCCATAGGGTTTCCAAGGAGCAGCTGGTGGATTCAAACTGCTGACCTTGTGATTAGCAGCCGAGTTCTTAGCCACTGTGCCACCAGGGCTCTACCTGACCTGTAGCAGCTGGTGGATTCAAACTGCTGACCTTTAGATTAGCAGCCCCTCGCCTAATTTGCTTCCATCTACTTCAAAGACTGAGGAACAAATTTTGCAAACTGCCAAGTGCTGTCATAAGATTATTATCCTGGCTTCATGCCTCTGAGTTTATATGCATCCTCTAGGACCTCAGCCTTCCTCTTTCAGGTGCTCTGAGTTGTTTTGGGGCCTCTGCCCTTCTCTGCTCAGAGACTGAGTATCAGAAGAAGGGACTTGGTCAGCTTCTAGAGAGAGCCCTGGGTCAGCAGCCCAGGGTCCATTCATTCCTTTATTCTCCTTCTGTGTGCCGCACCCTGAAATACGTGAGGAACTAACCAGCTGCCCGTGTGTGTGCAGGATGGACTCCAGTTCACCTTTTCCAGCCAGTCTGTGGCACTGTGATGATAAAATTCTCCAGCATCTCAGAGTTCCCAGAGCCTTAAGCCCAAGCTCTGAAAGATGGTGCCTCCTAGGAAAGAAATTGGAGGCAGTGGGGCTGCAGGCTTGGTCCCACACTGCAGGCCTTTTTGGAGGTAGGACTGTTTCTCTGACACTTGCTCGGGGCCTAAGGGAGGTGCAGAGAACCAGCCTCCGGCCAAGGACTGCCTTCCAGAGGGACAAGGGCTCAGACCCCCGGGCAATAGAGTGGATCAAGCTGCCAATCTTAGAATCTCTTTTGGAACTGATTTCCCAAACTCACCTTCTCCTTCCCAAGCCCTAAGGGGCTCCATCTCTTGCACAAAATCCTAGTCAGGAAGCTCTTGCTTGTCTCCTGTGCCTGCTTCCTTTTTAGTCCTGGAGACTCTGACTCTTGGCTTCCTCCAAGCCCCATGCTACTCTCAGTCAGAGTCCTCCTTCTGCGTTGCCCTAGTGCCTGGCCCATGTTCTTCTGCTTCCCCTAGAGCAAGGGATCTTTGATCTCAAGATCCTCCAATATGTTCCCCTGCCCCTTCACAGAAGTAACATCCCTTTTCTTGGAAGAGACTTTGGAGATCAGCATCCTTCCCCTCACCGACAGAAAGCGATGAGAGAGCTAGAGAAATATCAGGAGTGCCTCCTGCTGCTTGGCCTCTCCCTATCGGTCAGACTCCTCTTCTGAAGTTCCCGAGGTTACCAGCTGATCCCATCTCCGTGGGAGTCAAGGCGTTTGCTTTAGCCATGTCTCTGTAAGAGCGTCGTCTTAGTTTCCCAGCGCTGCTGTTAACAGAAATACAAGTAGGTGGCCTTAAAGAACAGAAATTTATTTTCTCACAGTTTAGGAGGCTAGAAGTCTGAATTCAGGGCACCAGCTATCCGGGAAGGCTCTCTGTCTCTGTTGTCTCTGGAGGAACATCCTTGTCTCAGCTTCTATAGCCAGCGTTCCTCGGTTCCTTGGTGATCCTCAAACGTGCTTCTATCTTCCACGGTTCATGCTTGCTTCTCTGTGCCTAATCTGCCCTTTTTATACCTCAAAAGTGGTATACCCTACACTGATATGGCCTCATTAACATAACAAAGAAAACCCTATTCCCAAATGGGATTACATCCACAGGTATAGGGTTAGGATTCCAATACATATTTTCAGGTGGACATAATTCAACCTGTAACCAATCATCTGCACCTACGCCAGCCTCTCCTTCAAGAGTATGTGTTCCTTGTAGAAAAGGACAGTGGCTCAATGGATAGTTGCTGAACAACGTGTCCCAGGCTGGAAGGCAAATGGTGAACAGAATCCAGATCTCCTGAGACCTCACCCCGTGCTCTCCACACAGTATCCCACACCACCTCCTCTATTCACTCACTACCACACATGATCCTGTCACATGGATGACTTCCAATTCCCTCCGCAATACGTCCTTCCCTCCCTTCCCTAGAGTGGCAGCTGAGGAGACCAAGGCTGCCTGAAGAGCTGCATTAAGTAATGTCCACAGATCTGATTTGGGAAAATGATCAGGACCTGGGCAGTGACAAATCTGGCCTGGGAGAGAAATTCAGGTGGATCATTGGGCTAGGGAAAGAGCAACAACATAAACTTAAGGACCTTTGGTGGGAGTAGGCAGGGGAGACATTAATCCAAGACAAGATTCCAAAGAGAAGTTCTGAGACATAGAAATCTATAGAGAAGGGACAGACAGGACAGTGATACCAACCAAAGGTAGTGAAGGGTCAAAGGTCCAAGATTTTGGCTTCTGATCCAGCAGAATTGTCATACATATGGGATAGGCACCAGAGACCCAGATGTCTGGCATCAGGGAGATGACTGAGATGTCACCAGGCTCAACTCAGAGCCAGAGAAGGACTGCCTAGGGTCCTTCACGGCTCCGTGTGTGGGACAGCTTATAAATGGGGGTGGGGTAGGTGTGAGGAGTTAAGTAAACTTATCAGCCAGGGGGAGAGTGGGGAATCTTAGCAGGAATAATACCACTCAAATGCGTGATCCTGAGTGCTATTCTACCATTTAGGAGTTACAGGTTCTATTAGGTTAAAAGGAATCTCTTGCTTCTCTTGTTTAAAGTGTAAATGGTATGTGTGTTGGTGGAAAGTGAGATAGGCAGTGAATAATATCATGCCAAAGCTGTATTGTAAATGGATTTTTTAGACTCATTTTCCTCCCTAAAGGAAGACTTGGGAAAGTACTTGGTCTTGGAGGAGGACAACCTAGAATAGAAGGAAAAAGCATGGGAGTGACTTTTGCCAGAGCCAGGTCAAGTGAGGACAGAAGAACCAAACACAGTTCCTCCAGAGTGGTGGTCACTTAATTTAATTTTATTGCCAGACTTCCCTCAAGTAGCATGACGCTTAGGGTATCTACCCCGAGCCCTCTCGGGGGAGAAGAGCTAAAGGAAGGATTCCTCAGGGGCTGGGAAGAAACAAAGCTGAGGACAGGGGTCCCCAACAGGCTGTCAGGCTAGGCTGGGGCCAGGTTTCCCCTTCTTCCTAAGTTTCATTCTGTTTCTCTTGAGTTTCTTCACCTTTGGCATTTGGTATCTTTTCTGGACCCAGACAACCCAGAGCCCCACAGCCAGAATTACCAAGAGCAAGAGAAGGAGCAATCCCTTGGTGAGAAGGCAGACGGTAGATGAGGCCATCTCGGAAGAAAAGCCAGGATCTGGAATGGAAAAAGGGAAGGAAAGAAGGACTTGTCAGAGGGAGGGGTCGAGTTAAGATTAGGGAACAGACACCTACCCCAAATTCCATGGAGGGGGTCTCAAGTTCATGAGTTAACATCAAACAGTTGATGTCCTTTTGAAAGTGTCTCTGTAAAAATACATTCTATGGGAAGAAGGTCAGGGACTGAGATCAGGGAAGCAATCTCAAAATGAGCAAGAGAAGAGACCATTGGAAGTTGGGGGCAGAAAGAGGCAGGGCCCCTCCCCGATTCAGGTGTCAAGCCTCTGTGGGAAGGGGTAGCTTCTGGCTTCCATGTGCTCTCTTGGAGGAGTTCAGGGAGAGACATGGTGGCTCCTTGCCCTACAGAATGGCCTTGAGGCCCATGTCCTGTGGCTCAGGGGCTGACTCTGGTCTCCTGGTACCTGCACAGAAAAGCCCAGCACAAATCGGACGGGAGCTGACTTTGCTGATGGGGTTGCTGGCCCTGCAAGTGTAGGAGAGGGGATTCTCCCCAAGCCTCCAGGATGTGCTGAGGATAGGGCCTTCATGAGCTATATCAGTGCTGTCGCCCAAGGATATCCAGCTGTAGATCACGTCCATGCCTGCCTTCTCTATAGAGCACGTCAGGGATATATTGCAGACATCTTTCCCAGAGATCTCAAAGTTCACAGTGACTTGGGGCTCCAACAGCCGTCCTAGATGAGAAGGGAAAACAAAACACCCACTTAACAATCATGATTGGTTCTGTTTTTCTAAACTCCTCAACTCTGGGGTCCTGGTGCTACCCCCTGAAGACCCCTTCACCTACAACAAATACTCAAAGGCAAACAAAAACCAGCCACCACACAACCTGTGGCTCCAGGGCCCCCAAGACAGCTGCTGAGGTAGGAAGACCTACCTTTGGCATCTTCTACCTTCTTCTCCTGCCTTCTCTCTCTCACCTTTGTACCTCACTGTCTCAGTTATCTAGTGCTGCTATAACAGAAATATCACAACTGGATGGTTTTAACAAACAGAAATTTATTCTCTCACAGCCTAGGAGGCTGGAAGTCCGAATTCAGGGTGCTAGCTCCAGGGGAAGGCTTTCTCTCTCTGTCAGCTCTGGAGGAAGGTCCTTGTCATCAATCTTCCTCCGTCAAGGAGCTTTTCAGTGCAGGGATCCCGGGTCCAAAGGATGTGCTGTTCTGCTAGCGCTTTTTTCTTGGTGGTATGAGGTCTCCATGTCTCTCTGCTCGCTTTTCTCTTTTATATCTCAAAAGAGATTGACTTAAGACACAACCTAATCTTGTAGATTGAGTCCTGCCTCAGTAACATAACTGCCACTAATTCCACCTCATTAACATCATAGAGGTAGGATTTACAACACATAGGAAAATCACATCAGATGACAAAATGGTGGACAATCACACAATACTGGGAATCATGGCCTAGCCAAGTTGACACACATTTAGGGGGGACATTATTCAATCCATAACACTCACCTTCCTCCAAACCCCATTCTACCTCCTGGATCCCATAAAATATTATCACTCCTCCTAGGAGTATTTATATTTTAATCAGCGTCCCTTCAGGATTCAAGGTAGAATATCAGTCAATGTGACAAACACTAAGAAGAAAGGTGTGTTCAAGTAGAGGGCAGATACTGATTTTTTGTTAGCTGCTGTCTAGGTGGCCCCTGACTCATGGCAACCCCATGCACAACGGGATTGGACTGTTGTGATCCATAGGGTTTTCACTGGCTGATTTTCAGACGTAGATTGCCAGGCCTTTCTTCCTGGTCTGTCTTAATCTAGAAGCTCCACTGGAACCTCTTCAGCATCATAGCAAGGAGATACTAACTAGTACCCTAGTACCCCTCAAATCAAACTTGGGGATGGAAGACTCAAGAATGGAGGTCGTGTTCAATTGCCAGGATGCAAAAATCTCACTGGTAGAGAAATGAAATGACCCAAGACCCAGGGGGGCAGTTTCCTTCCCTGAGAAGACACTGCAATGACACCTGGGTCCCTGGAGGGTTTATGGATGAAGCCCTGTCTCTCTCACTGTGCAGGGCACCTGCCTGGGGGCGTCTGAATGGCCCAGGGCGTTGTTGTCACAGGTCACTTCGGTTGTTGCTGCAGCTCAGACAGTGGGGTTGAACAGACTGGAGACTGTCCTTCTCCTAGTCCCAGCCCCTCAAACCATAATCTAGAATCATGAGACCCTTACTCCATGGTGTGGGAAGCCCCAGAGAGCCAGACAAAGCAGTGTTGTAGTTCCCAGTGCAAACTCACGGTAGACACGGAGATTGTAATCCTGCATGATAGACATCTGGGACATCCTTAGGTTGACTTGGGCTTGGTAAGGCCCTGCGTCTTCCCAACTGAGATTGCTGATCTGCAGGGAGTAGCTGGAGCCCAGGAAGCTCACTCTGCCCCGGTAGCGAGGGCTGATCACTGTAATGGTAGCTGGGTTTCCCTTTTTCCCTGGCACCACAGTTGCAAGCCGTCTGTGGGAGGACCAGATAATGTTCTCAACCTCTTCATCTGATGGTATTTCCAGGGGGAGCCTGATGGACTCCTGAAGGACAGCCACCACTTCTTCAGGGTCTACAGTGTCTCCAGAGTGCCCTTTGGCTGCAGACATAAGAAGAAAAGAGATGGAAACAGCCCAGCAGGTGTCGGGGCTGCCGTGCCTGGCCATGGGACTGTGGTCTCAAGGGAGGAGAAGGTAGTTGTATTGCTTCATCTTGTCCTCCAGCTGCCTCTTCTGGCTCTAGCTTTCTGCTGCACCAGAGGTTGGCTTTCATCTGTGCTCTCACCCCCCAAGCTTCATCTTCTCCTTCTGCCATCCTGGGCTCCTCCCCCTTTTGTGTCCCCAGGTTTCCTCATCTCTTGGTCCTGCCCTGAAGCCACATCCTAAACCAAACCCATTGCTGTCAAGTTGATTCCGACTCATAGTAACCCTATAGGACAGAATAGAACCGCCCCATAGGGTTTCCAAGGAGTGGCTGGTGGATTTGAACTGCCAGCCTTTTGGTTAGCAGCTGAGCTCTTAACCACTGCGCCGCCAGTGCTCTTACTTCTCATTATTTCAGAAGAGCTGAAGCATTTAGCCCCAAAGGAAGAGCCTGGCTGGCCCAGGGCCCAGCAGAACAGAAGGACAGAGGGAGAGGGAGAAACTCATTGCAGGAGTAGGCAGTCTCACTCACCTTTCAGGAGCAACAAGAGAAGGACCAGCCAAGCAAGGGCCCCCATGCCAGCAGCCTGTGCCCGAGGAGGCACAACTTGGTCGGCTCCCAGTGCTGAGAGGAAGACAACTGTCAGGAGGTTCCCCAGTCACAGAGTGACTGATTAATAGTCCTAAAGAGAAGGAAATGATCCTCATCCTATTCAGCAGCCCTCTAACTTCCTCCCTCCTCACTAAGCCACCCCTTGTCCATTATGGAGAGAATTCTCTCTCAGAGCCCAATTGTCAAGATGGTGTTCCCATTGACTCACGTTGCTTGGTGGTTCAAGTCCACTAAGAGGTACCTCAAAAGAAAGGCCTGACAATCTACTTCTGAAAAATCAACTACTGAAAACCCTATGGAGCACAGTTCTACTCTGATACGTACAGGGTTGTTGTGACTCAGAATCAGTTTGACCACTACTGGTTTCGTGTTGTCCCTCCACCAAACCCAGGTGAAATCTAGCTTTCTAAATGGGGCCTTCCTAGACTCCCTACCCTCTGTATGCCCAGACTCCATCCACACCACCCACTCCCAAACTCTTAGAACACTTCCCATGTAGACTTGGCATGTAGCTGTCAGCAAACTTTGCCTTAGCTGTCTCCTGGCAGCCCCTATGTTGCTGTGATCATCTGATCTTATAAACGTTTTTATCTCTCCAGGGAGACTCAATCGTTTGTCTCCTCTGTATGTCCCACTATTGCTGGTCCCCATGCTAGACACATGTTAACACTCCATTGATATTTTTGGAATGGATGAATGAATGAAGACTTTCTATTTAAAGCTAGTTATGTTCTCACTTGAAAGACTATTCAGAGGGGAAAAAATTTGACTCTCTTAAAAAAAGAAGTTTGGACCAGAGAGCTGGTCTAAGTGGTTACTATTATGGAAAGGCTTTAAATCATTCAGTGAGAATATGATGTTGATCAAAGCTATATAGGAAATCAGACTTAGGGGGCGCACAGGGGATCAGGGTAGGAGAAAACTTTCTGGTGATCAGAGCTGTCTAGGATACAATGGTCTGCCTTGGGAGGTAGTTTCTGTCCCAGGAATTCAAGCTAAGACTGGACAGTCACTTGCTTGGATTTTCTGCAACGTCTTTGCCATCTAATGGATAATCAGACTAGTTTTTCTGATTTCAGTGATATAATTCTATGTTGTGATGAGGGAGCAAGAATGGTGTCTTAAGACCAAGGGCACAATGGAGCAGATATATTCAGTTCTGGCCCTCTGCCAACATTTCATATCTTCAGATTAGCAAATTCAGTACTTGATCAAATATTCATTGAGCAGCTTCTGTGGCCCAGACTCTGTCCTAAATGCTAGGGGATTAGCAGTTTCCAAGATTTAGGTTTTGATTCATGGAGCTCATGGGCTAACAACTGACAGTGGACAAGTAACTACAAGTTTGATGAGTTTTCCCAAAGGAAAGTGGTTCAACGGTGGAATTCTCACCTCACGTGAGGGAGACCTGGTTTCGATTCCCAGCAATGCACCTTATGCACAGCCACCACCCGTCTGTCAGTGGAGGCTTTTATGGTGATGATGCTGAATGGGATTCAGCAGAGCTTCCAGACTATGATGGACTAGGAAGAAAGGCCTGGTGATGTACTTCTGAAAATCAATTAATGAAAACTCTATGGACACAATAGTCTGATCCGCAATCAATCACGGGGATGGTGCAGGGACTGGGCTGTGTTTTGTTCTGTTGTGCCAGGAGTTCAGACAGACTCGGAGGCAGCTAACAGCAATATAACAAGGAGACTTAGCAAAGCTGGTGTCAAGAGGGTCAGGGAAAAGCTTTCAAGGAGAAATTATATTTAAGCTGAGACCTCCAGGATGAGTAAGATCTGCTAGGTGATGAATAGGATGAAGTAGATAGTTCTTAAAGTTCAATTTATGAGCTTCAAACCTGAAGGGTTGAGATTTTTTTTTTTTAAGGTAGATCAGGTTTCAGTCTGAGTATGAAAAAACTTTTTTATAGTCTTCCCCTTTATTAAAAAAATAAAAGCAAGGGAAAAATACAAGTTCATGCAAATAAAGTCCAGAGTTTAAAGGGGAGTGTATCAGTTAGCTTCTCTGACAAGGAGATACCGCATATAGGCATGAAAGAGGTTTACAGGGGGCAATACCTGTAAAGAGGGCAGTGGTGGCTCACCTGCCACTTAGGAGACCTGGGTTCAACTCCTGGCCAATGTACCGCATGTACAGCCACCACCCATCTGTCAGAAGAAGCTTGCGAGTTGCTATAATGCTGAGCTTTCAGACTTTCAACAGAGCTTCCAGACTAAGACTAGAAAGAAAGGCCTGGTGATCTACTTCTGAAAATCAGCCGCTGAAAACCCTATGGATCACAATGGGGATGATGCAGGACCCGGCAACAGCATTTCATTCAGTTGTTCACGGAGTCTCCCTGAGTCAGGGCTGACTCAGTGACAGTGAACAAAGTCTCTGCTAACTCAGCAGAGAGCTCTGGTGTAAAGATTGCCCATTAGAGGAAGCCATGTTGGACAGGAATGTCCAGGC